TTGAGACTTGGGTAAAAAGAAAATAAGTTTATTGTCATAAAACTGGTTCACCGTAAAAATGTATTCACGTAAAATAAGGCCAAATTTGTTTAAGAGCATCATGTTAAACACACATCGCCATCGCGACATTACCGTTGCATGATAAAAAAATTGAAAATACATATGCCACAAATGTAAATATATGCTATGTGGTATCACAATATAAAGTGTCAAAATACAAAGCATTGGATTTACAGAGTATCTAAACGTGACTGGCCCCAGATCTGAAGCCTGCTTGCTGTACTTTCCCCTGCAGGCCGGCTAGATGCTACCTTGCCAGAAGGTGTCTCGCATATCACGATCCACTAACCCAGGGGGTCAGCAACCTGCAGCTCTGGAGCCACACGCGGCTCTTTAAGGACCGCTTTGTGACGTTATTTATTTAAGACGACCGTCTCGTATTCACAAACATCACGGCTCTTGAAATATTGAGTTTTTTTTACTGAATTCGAAATAAATGTCTCATTATTTTGGTTGTCGACCCCTGCACTAACCCCACATTGCCACCGCACCCCATACCACAACACAATCAAAATGTACTGTGTGGTTCGCAGAGGTTTGGATGTGGCTGTGTTTGGATGGGGCTGGTGAGGGCCTTGGTACCGCTCGTGTTGGCGACTTCGTTCAGATTATTTAGATTATTTTGCTGCTATAAATTTCCACATGATAAGCCACTTCGTTGAGCTATCATTTGTGGCCAGGTCGCTTCTGAAAAAGAAAATAATAGCTCAGTCGGCTTTGGTAAGATTAACAATAGTTTTAGTTTTATTTGTAATATTTTATTACGTGATTTGTTTACTTTTCCCATACTTTGCACTCTTATCGTTTATGCATTGTTGTTGTAACGTTCTAACCTGCCGCTTACTGGTTATCTGTTAAAAAGAGCGTTATAACTAATCTGATTCCTCCATTGTAAATAAATATTCAGATTCTGATTAGTAAAACGCACAAAGCATCATCTCAAAGTGGCCTTATCAGCAGCGCCGATCTCCATTGGTGGCCGCCACGAGCCATCGGCTGACCACTGGTGACTTTGTGCACATTGGTACTCGTTTTATCGGCCCCGGGAGGTTTGATGGGCTGAGACGATCCCTGACCGCGTCTCAAACGTTCTCAACCGTCTCGTTTGCGAGTCGAGCGATCGAGCTGTCGTGGCCACCACTCGACCAGACGCTGCTGCTATGAGAGGGACACTGGGAAAGTTGCCTGGACGGGGAGATCCCTTCAGGGGTCTTCATTATCCCTCCTCACGCAACCCTCTTCCGCATTGTGTTAGATCGCCTCGCGCAAGCAAACAGCAGGCAGGCAGCGCTGGATGGACTGTGTGTGGGAGTGCAGTCAGGCTGCTGTGTGGTTGGGCACTTGCGTGGCGAGATGTTAAAAACCTTGCCGGTATGCAGGAGGGTTGTGGGTTCGATCCCGATCCTGATGTCTATTGTATATTTGGAGTTTGCATGTTCTCTCCATGGTAATGTAGATTTTTTTGTCTGGGCCCACTGGTTTTTTTCTTCCACATTTGCAAACATATTTAATTTCCATATAATAAGGCACTTCGTTGAGTTATCATTTGTGGCCAGGTCACTTCTGAAAAAAGAGCTATGTAGCTCAGTGGGCCTTACTTGGTCAAATAAATTTTTTTTTGTATAATTGCACTTGTGGCATATATATGTATGCAGTTTATATCTTCATTTTTATTTTAACTTTGAAGATATCCCAGCGGAAGAGAAGTCCCCCCATGGCCCTCAATCCAGAATCAGAATCTTTGTTTAGACTTGAGGAATCGGATGAGCTATGAAGCCCTTTTTCAGCACGACACGGCCACGTGTGCCATTTGAAACTCGCCGAGAACGTGCGTGTGTTCATTCGGCTTTGTGAATAGAGAGTAGCGTATAAGTAGTCACCACGGGCTAGATCTGGGCTGGACAGTGATTGTTTTAACGCTGCGAAGCCACACATTTCGGCGGCGGCCTGGACAAATCGGGGCTTGTGAAGTCGGGCGTTGAAGGAGCAACGCTCCACAAGTCACCTTTTCCATGATATTTCTCCTCGATGGCGTCTCTTGGTATTTGTAGCATGGCAGCATAACCCTTGCCCTCCGCAGGAATTGAACAGCGAGCCTGTCACAACGTGTCCCAGATTGTCAATCTGCCGCGCTCCGCTCCTGTTTACCGGGATAGACGATGTTTCTAAACGCTCCCCCCCCCCCTTCCCCGTGTGCACTGCATGGGGTGGCTTTTTCGCTTGCGACGTTGATCTTCTGAAACTTTGGGCAAATCCATAGCTCGGAATATCTTTCCAGATTGTAATGAATCCACTGCAAGCAAAAATCTAAAGCTACAAAGAAAGATGAACTATTTTAATCAAACTGTATAATCTGTTTTACTGAGTGTCATTAAATTCTCTGCCAGAGCTCTAGTTGCTGCCTAAGGGGAAACAAAACACCGCTTTTGTTCTTTGAATTTCAGCCCACCTCTCATAATCATCATCGTCGTCGTCGTCGGTAATCATCGACCAACAAAACAGTAAAATGCGTGACAACGTATAAGTGTTGTTAATAGTGGGGAGTGGTGGTGTCGCGGTTAGCGCTACACTGCGCTACGAACCCGGCGACCCGAGTTCGGTTCCTGCTTACGGCCAACACCAGTGACGATTATCTGAACCGGTCCTGGGCCTCCCCTAGGTCGACTCAGCCTCAAATGAGTACCTCGTGTGTAAACATCGCCACTATGGAGACAAAGGCGGCCGGGCGTGGTGCTGGCCACCCCCCTCCCTCATGCGCCGTGCCAGCCTTCATAGGTGCTGCTCGCTAACAGCACTTGCTCCAACAGTCTGTTAAGGCTATACGGGGGATCTTTGTTTACAATAGACGATTTCATGATCGAATGTCCCCGTGCTTAAATTCACCTTGGTCAAAAGTGATAATTTCTTGTCGGTGAGCCTCACTGAGACAGTGGTTGAAGTCCCACACCGAGAGACGCATGAGCATGTCCAGAGCGTCGTTTTTCCGACCAGAAAAGTACAGGGTCGCATTCCCAGCGATTCACCGAGTTGTCGAGATTTGAGGGGTCGTGTATCGTCGCAAGAATATTTTTTTACCGTCTTGTTTGTGTATCTCAACTTCTCTGTCTCTAAACACATTTGTTTGCTCCATTAGCCTACATGTAATATGAGGATGTACTTCACGTGTCATTTTCATCAATCTTATTTAATAGATTCTTACACGCGCAAATTCGATACCTGCATTATTAGCATGACAATTGACGCGTTCTTATATGCCCAACTTTCACGCTCTGTCACCGTGCGTTAATATTATTAACCGATGCCAAATTGCAAGCCCCTCTGTGGTTTTCAAAATTTGGCATCGCTTCTGCTATTCCTCCAGGCAAAATTAATGCTAAAACGTATATCCTCTCACAGAAATGTCACACCTTCTGACGTGATGGCTTCGCCAGAAATTGAAGATGCTGCTTCTTGAATTAAAGTGGTGCCCTTGCGATTGCCTCCCTTTCTGTTTAATAACCCAAGGATATGCCACTGCCACTCCGGCATTGCACACGGGAGAAATTCGCTCGATAATGAACGTTTTTGCTCTGCCAGCTGTGCCAAGTCACAGTGTTTACCCAATACAGGACCGTTTCAACTTGAGGTAAACCCACCAAGTAAAAAATGCGTGTGATTAATATTTTCATTAGAAAAATTGGGCAGGGTGGTCTGCACGCTCAAACGAGCTTTGGGGCGTGCTCGTCGATGCTTTAGTGATGCCAAACCCAGTGGTGGAAATTCTGCGCCCGTGTGGGCAGTTGCCCAGTATCATCAAAGGATAACCACTGCACACTTGCTGCAAAAGTGAAAATTCATTCAATTAAAGCCCAGAAAAATTATTTGCTTAGTCATCCCTTGACCAGGATTGCAACTCGTCGCCTCCACGTTCTGAGTTGAGCGCTTTGGCGCAGAGTACCAACCAAACGATTTATAATAATACGAGGAGAATATGTTTCTGTTAGATAGTGCTGTTCCCATGTATAGAGAAATATAATTTGAAAAAATGTCATCTCTCGATTGCAACTCAAGCTGCTTGTCACTGTGTGTAATAACCAAGCTGAGGAATGGCCCAGACAACAATTAAGGGTCTATCTTACTCAACAGTTTTAATATGGCTTCACAAACTCGTAAGCTAAACAGCCCACCGTAGTAAAAAATTCCAGTCATGTGATACGTTAAATTTCTAACAACTTATTTTGCATCCGAATCGAGACGGCTGGCAAACAGGAACAGGCAGATAGTTTCTGGGCTTAAGGACTGGAGTTTATGAAGCCTTGCGCTAGATTGAGATCTAATCTGTTTCGATTATAGTGGCTCATTCACCACACATTTGCCAAATAAGGCCTCACAGTTCAGCTACGCTAAGTTAAGCACACAAATGGAATGTCACGGTTGTTTTGTTTGTGTGGTCTTATGTGAACACATTGAGATCCTGAGAGCCGCTACAATTGAGCACCTGTTTCAGTATCAGGTGCGTTAAGGTTCAAACCCGGGTCTCTGGTGCTGGCTCAGAGCACTTTGGCAGAGGGATTTGTGCATTAGCGAATGTTTCCTTCGGCACTGGCGTTGCATTTTGCATGAAGCAATCAAGAACCAAAATATTAACATTTCATAACGATAAGAATGGTGTTTTACTCTACAGCTGAAACAATCACGTTATAATGCAAATAAAAGCCCAAATTGCTGTGCAATTTCGTTCAATGTATTGTGTTGGCTAATGGCTCTAATTAGGCCCATTGGCCTAAAACTACTGCTGACCCTGTGTTTTTTTGTGGGCACAGTTTTAAATTCAATTGACTGTAGTAGAGTAAAAAAAATACCCACACGCTAACAGCAACAGCAAACGAGTGCTGATGCAGCAGTGGTAAAGGCCTAACAAGGTTTGTGTGTTTGTTTGTTCGTGTGTCTTATTTTCACAGCGCTGTATTCCCTCGTTCTCCTCTTCGTTTTCTTTTGGATTCCATTTGTCTACTTCTATTACGAAGAAAAGGGCCTGGAAGAATTTGATTCTACACGCTCGGTGAGACTTGGATTGCGAGAGGGGGGCGATGTAAACATAAATGCACGCATGACCCAGCCAGCCGGGTGGTGGCACTGTGGCTTCAGCGCTCGATTCAATAGCTGCTTGCAGTTTAAAATATCGGTCCCGGGTCAATTTACCCACAATTTACCCCGAGCTGGATGAAATCGGTGCCATCGTGCAAAAAAGAGCTTCATAGCTCATAGGATTTTTCCAATATAAATACATGTTCAGATTCTTTACATATTCAGAGTTATTGTACGGACAGATTGGCCACGCTATGGTTATTTACACCACTCACCCTGGGCTACCAATGTAGACTGGCACTTTGAAATGTAGTGTTGAAGACAAAGGGTAAGATTCACATTAAACAAACGTTCCCAAACACAGCAGCCTTTTAAACACCACTACTGCCGTCCGCAGAGACATCGACACTTTTTTGGCAGAATTTGGATGATTCTGGCCCAAAGTGTTTCCCATTTTTAATGGCAGTGTCATCTTCCAATGCATAAATGGCTGTTGTTGTAATAATGACATTTAGCCCTTGGACACGGTCCTTTTTTGCATGTCAGTGCTACAAATGGCCTGACCTCCTGACCCTGGCTTGGCTGTGACAGGTCCAGTGTGAGAGCCACGGGATGATGTGATTGATGACAGTGATTTTTAAATGATTGATAGTCCACTTAATGGCAGTGAACCACACCTGAGAGGAAGTCTGTAGTAATCTGTTAGCAGCCGTGTAGTATTACCGCTTCTCTCGGTTATCCTTAATGCCACTGTTTTTATCTTTGTGTGTGTTCATCTTTGAATACTCATATGCATGAGTGCCTTGTTAAGACATGTTCAAAGGTTTGGCAAACGTTTATGGTTTTCTATGCGTGCTTTTTGCTTTTCTGTGATTCGCAAAACAACGGCATGTTTTGTTATTTTCCAGGTTATTAGAAATCATTGGTATTCTTTAGTTGTTTTCTTGAAATCAACTGTTCACATTTATAATGACGTCGCAGTCTAAGGCTTTATAATCCTTACAAACACTATTGGCTTGAAATGTAGCTTCAAATGAGCACTCCATTTTTCTCAATGCCCATTTAAAGCTGTCTGAAGATTCATTACAATTCCTTTCATTCGCATCGTTTAGGCAGTCGATATGGATGGGTAAAACATTGTCACCGTTTAATTAAGCGGATCAATTAATCAGGCCTTTCCTGATACAGTTTCCCACAGGAATGGGCTTAACCATTTTTGTCACCGAGAAGCTGGGACATGTTAAATGTTTTGGGTCCCTTGGGGAGAGAAAATCAAATGTTAACCTTTTTAAATTAATTGGCTTGAAAGCCACGTGAATATATTTGAGTGTAGATAGCTACATTGCAAATAGAATAGGTTTAAGAGTAACAGAATTCAGGTGTGTTTTGATACACATAGGCTTTCGCGACCAATATCATCGATAATACAGGTTTTTTGGGGTTGGATCGCGTATGTATAAATGTGTCGTTAAATCCGCCACCACCCGACACGGCCAATTAGTAAGGTTTGTCACGTTAACAAAACACCGGTGGAGAACCAAGCCACAACATTTACAATGTTTACAATGTTTAAAATGTTTAAAATGTTGTGGCTTGGCTCTCCAACAAACCTTACTAATTGGCTGTGTCGGGTGGTGGCGGGTTTAATGGCACATTTATATATTTACGCGATTTAACAAAAAAAAAACCTGTATTATGGATGTTTTTATTTATTTCTGCATTTATACTTTTAGAAAAGGATTCATTGATAAATGCTATAAATTGGAAAATCTAGATTTACATATAACTACGTGGCAATTTTTTATTCAAATGCAAATTTATGTTAAATCTGCAATCATCAAAGGGTTAATGGATGCTAATTTAAAATTAAATACCCCCTACAGGATTAGGTAAAACTTTTGCAATCTGGCCAAAGGCCAAAGAAAGGCAACTTGAACTAAATTTCTCAGGCTGATCTCTTTTGGATGTAAATTCAGGCTTGAGGTGGAAGTGAATCATTGGCAAGCGATTGTATACTGTCTGTTACTCTAAAGTGATTCAAATCAAGATAGTATGAGATTGTTAATTTCTGTTAGAAGATTACATTTTTATACTCGCTTCAGCGAAATGAATTGGTGTTTGTGTTTGTAAAAATCACGTTTATGATGCTGAAAACCCGAGCGTTTAGGCATTCATCTCATTAAATTTATTGACCCCGGTAATAACGCAACATTTATAAAAATTATATCTAAAAAAATCTGCATCCTTCTACAGACACCAACAATGTGGAGGCACCTACCTATTGTGTTCACAGCTAGTGATAGCGGGGTGACGGTCCGTCTACGGGATAACAAGTGCTAACCACTCGACTGAATGGTACTCGCTTTGTTGACCGCGGATGGATGATGGGCATTTTAACGTTGTGATCTACATCGATAATTAAATAATCGTCAACTGATAGTTGAGTTATTTCTGAACGATGCATTTGTGTGACCGACTTATGCCTTTGTACACGCTCTTACGACACACCCTATAATGCGTTTCAGCCAAATAAAAAACGATCAAATAATATGAACAAACCTGTTGCCGATGCACTTGGGGCAAATCTCGCTTTGAAGAATGCAAGTTTTTCGTGTGAAATTGCCACTCTAATCGGCCGTACTAATTGCTATACACGGAGCATTTTCCCGCGAGTAATAAACCGTCCTTTGCCTCGAGCGGTGCGATCCGCCCGCGTTGCCGAATGTGTAACGTTTGGCAAGATCCGGCGCCTTGCTCGCCTCGCTATCCGCAGCTGCTTGCCTGCGGTTCACCGCCGGCGGCCACTGTCCAATTCTCAGCACTTTGTAATGAAACGCTGCGAAAGTGAATGAAATCGGCATCGTTAACTTTTCAGCTTGATGCGAGTTCTCGGTGTGTGTCCATCTTTCTCCGTGTGTGACCTCTCCCGGCTGTGTTCCCCCTTGACGGTTACGGCTGTGACGGGACCGTGACTCGTGTTTGTGTGTGCTTGCGTTGCAGCGGCTCTGCACTGCCTTCAAGTACACCATTGGCTTTGTCGTCGTGTGCGGAGTGCTGCTTCTGATTGGGTGAGCCAGCGTTATTTCGCCTGCTTCTGTGAATTGCACTCCATCCATATGTTCGCGACTCCGGTTGGCCAGTTCCGCAGATGTTGCCTTGCGAAGGGTGAATTGGCATTTTGCCTGTGATGCAATGAGACTTTGGAATGAACTGCCTCTGGTTGATACTGCAGGTGCGTTAACCACAGGGTAAGTTAAAGAATCCCGTGACCTTATCTGAGTAGGCGGTGTGTTTCCTGCCATCACGGTGAAAATCGCCTATTTCATAATTCTTTATCTTTACAGAGGACAACAAACATTTCAGGCAGTGTTCCTTCTTCAATTGCTGCTTAAGATCCAAAAAAATCCAATTAGTAAGTCTTACATTTTCGAAAATATTTGTTTAAAACCAGCAATAGAAAATATCTCACTTTTTCCAAAAAAAAAGAGAAACAATTCCACGTCTCAGAACTCGGGAGCTCGTGCTGCGTTTCGCGACCTCACGCTTGCTCTGCGCGAGCCGTCCCACCTCCGATTAATACGGTCGGCAACCTATGGTGCGAAAAGAAGTTCAACGTACATAGGTATACCGGCGCTCGCCACGCCAGCATTCCCACCGCTGGCTCAGAGCCACCGGTGCAGAGATGAGCGCCATCCTGTCGTGAACGCTGTACGCAATCCTAAACCTCTGGTATTGTTCTCACGGTAAACAATAGGAACCATCCCCAAAGTGATTGGCATTTTTCAGGTCGTCTCAGTGGGCGTGCACCCACCCCACCTGAATTAATTCTAGACAGTGATTTTTTCTTATTTAATTTAAAACAGCTTTTAAACGCAACGACATCGCAAGATGCCGTGCGAAAAAGTGGCGCATCGCGGGGATGCGAGGAAGGAATTTGACGTTTTTAAATTAACGTGCAATAGGAACGAGCTCAAAGGTGGGGGATAGTTAATCATAGAGACACGAGGGGAGATGAGGAGTGCCCCATGAGTCTGAGCTTGAACAAGAGCAAGCGTAGGGATTCTAGATTTGAAGCTTTCGTGACTGCAAGGATTCATACTCTTAGTTCTTTCGGTAAAGTCACGCAGGTAAAATATTAAATCAAAATTAATAAAAAACAAAAACAATAAAATCATGACGTTTCGGAGGCAACATAGTTTCACCTGAAGACGGAAGCTTGTGTTGCCTCCGAAACGTCGTGATTTTATTGTTTTTTTTATAAATTTTGATTTAATTTTTACCTACGTGACTTTACCGAAAGAACTAAGAGTATCAAGCGTAGGGAGTCCACAGCATGGACGGCTGTGGGGAGGAGGGATTCCAAATTGGTGGGGGGGGGGGTAGCAGCAGAGAAGGAGCGACACCTCCCGTCGCTTGGGCATTTTTTGTCAGAAGGCCGTGGGTTTGCTCGAGCGGAGTTTACGTGAAAGCGAGCAGAGTGAATTACAGAGGGGAGAGGTAGGAGAGTGCTCAGATGGAGCCTTGGACTGACTCGATGGGATCGTGTCATGAACGAAGACGTTCAGAAGCGACTTGGTGTGGCCCCCATTGCGGACAAGATGCTTGAGGCAAGGCTTCGGTGGTACGGCCATGTGATGCGAAGAGGAGAGTCATCAGTGGCCAAGACTGCCATGCGTATTGAGCCAGAGGGCCGCCGTCCACGCGGACGTCCAAAGAAGCGATGGATGGACCGAATAAAGGAAGACATGAAGACGGTCAACGCATCCCCCGAAGATGCCCTGGACCGAGCCAAATGGAGAAGATAATGCCGAAAAGCGGACCCTGCGCCACAGCGGGAACGCTAGGAAGAAGAAGAAGAGGTAGGAGAATGCGTGGGGTAGAGTGAGATGAGTGGGGTGAGTCTACGGATGATTGAGAAAATGACTCGCGGCTACATTATATTAAGAAAATAGTCTTTTGATGACTCGAGATAAAATATCATGACGAGTGTATTTTAGAGATTGTAGCAGTGGCGCCTTAACTAAACTGACCTATTTTAGGACTGCTTATGATTCAGTGCCAATGTTCAAAACCCAGAGGCAAACTTTAGGCAACTTATTAAAAATTCTGCGAGCAATTATGGATATGTCACGAGGCAACCTGCAAGGAGAGCTCGCTTTAACAGTTTAAATCTGTTGTAAATACCTTATAATTTGTACTTAATTCGTCGTTTAATGCCCGTCAATTTCATCTTGTGATGTTTCTCCATCGGCAGTGCTCGTAGGGCAGGGTTCCTGGCATAGTGTGGTCGTCGGGGTCAAAATATGTCGAATGCCAATGGAACTCTCCAAATGCGTGAAATCTTTGCGGACCCTGTGTTGTTGAGAAACGAATTCAACATTCACTTGACGGAGTTTGGGGATCGACACGAGTCTTACTTTAAGGCACCCGCTTAGGGTATTCTTACGCATACGCACACACACGTGGAATTTATATTTAAATCGTGAGTCGAGACTTTAAATTTCGATTTAAAGCTTTCGTGACTGCAGGGATTCATCTTCTTGGTTCTTTCGGTAAAGTCACGTAGAAGGGAAGTAATAAAATAATAAAAATAAAACATAATAAAATAATTCTCACGACGTTTCGGCCACAACGCAAGCAGCCGTCCTCAGGTGAAAACCAGGTCCGTCGAGGCGACAGAGTCTGAATGAAGCAGCACACGAGCTTGGAGCATATATATAAGCTGGGCGCATTGACAAAGGAATTTGCATATCAAGATGAATTTAGCATATTCATGGGAAATGCAGGAATGTGATTAGTACTGCATATGCATGTGCATTATGCACGATTAACAGCATCAAAGGGAGCTACAGTTGCTGCTGCTGCTGCAGTTGCTGCTGCTGCAGTTGCTGCTACTGCTGCTGTAGTTGCTGCTGCTGCTGCAGTTGCTGCTGCAGTTGCTGCTACTGCTGCTGTAGTTGATGCTGCTGCAGTTGCTGCTGCAGTTGCTGCTACTGCTGCTGTAGTTGCTGCTGCTGCTGCAGTTGCTGCTGCTGCTGCAGTTGCAGCAGCAACTGCAGCAGCATCAACTACAGCAGCTTCATTCAGACTCTGTCGCCTCGACGGACCTGGTTTTCACCTGAGGACGGCTGCTTGCGTTGTGGCCGAAACGTCGTGAGAATTATTTTATTATGTTTTATTTTTATTATTTTATTACTTCCCTTCTACGTGACTTTACCGAAAGAACCAAGAAGTCGAGACTTTGTCAGCAAAGCACGGGGCCAACAATATCATCGTCTGCTTGCTCAAACGGTGACGGCGCGGTACTCCACGACCTGTTTTAGGCCCTGAGAAAGTTTTTAATCGGTGCAACGTAATTATCTACGAGCAGGAACCCGTAGAACTTGCGTGGAAAAAGGATGACGAATATGTACGACGTCATAACCCCCTCTCCTGAGGAGAAAAGCGGGTTATGACGTCATAACCCCTCTCTCCTGCGGAGAGAAGGGCGGGTTATGACGTCATAACCCCCCTGTGGAGAGAAGGACGGGTTATGACGTCTAACTCCCTCTCTTGTGGAGAGAAGGGCGGGTTATGACGTCATAACACCTCTCCTGTGGAGAGAAGGGCGGGTTATGACGTCTAACTCCCTCTCCTGTGGAGAGAAGGGCGGGTTATGACGTCATAACCCCCTCTCCTGTGGAGAGAAGGACGGGTTGTGACGTCATAACCCCCTCCTGAGGAGAGAAGAGCGGGTTATGACGTCATAACCCCCTCCTGTGGAGAGAAGGGCGGGTTATGACGTCATAACCCCCTCCTGTGGAGAGAAGAGCGGGTTATGACGTCATAACCCCCTCTCCTGTGGAGAGAAGAGCGGGTTATGACGTCATAATCCCCTCTCCTGAGGAGAGAAGGGTGGGTTATGACGTCATAACCCCCTCCTGAGGAGAGATGGGTGGGTTATGACGTCATAACCCCCTCCTGTGGAGAGAAGAGCGGGTTATGACGTCATAACCCCCTCTCCTGAGGAGAGAAGAGCGGGTTATACCGTCATAATCCCCTCTCCTGTGGAGAGAAGGTCGGGTTATGACGTCATAACACCTGTGGAGAGAAGGGTGGGTTATGACGTCATAACCCCCTCTCCTGAGGAGAGAAGGGCGGGTTTTGACGTCATAATCCCCTCTCCTGTGGAGAGAAGAGCGGGTTATGACGTCATAACCCCCTCCTGTGGAGAGAAGGGCGGGTTATGACGTCATAACCCCCTCCTGTGGAGAGAAGAGCGGGTTATGACGTCATAACCCCCTCTCCTGAGGAGAGAAGGGTGGGTTATGACGTCATAACCCCCTCTTCTGAGGAGAGAAGGGTGGGTTATGACGTCATAACCCCCTCTCCTGTGGAGAGAAGAGCGGGTTATACCGTCATAATCCCCTCTCCTGTGGAGAGAAGGTCTGGTTATGACGTCATAACACCTCTCCTGTGGAGAGAAGGGTGGGTTATGACGTCATAACCCCCTCTCCTGAGGAGAGAAGAGCGGGTTATGACGTCATAATCCCCTCTCCTGTGGAGAGAAGAGCAGGTTATGACGTCATAACCCCCTCCTATGGAGAGAAGGGCGGGTTATGACGTCATAACCCCCTCCTGTGGAGAGAAGAGCGGGTTATGACGTCATAACACCCTCTCCTGAGGAGAGAAGGGTGGGTTATGACGTCATAACCCCCTCTCCTGAGGAGAGAAGGGCGGGTTATGACGTCATAATCCCCTCTCCTGTGGAGAGAAGGGTGGGTTATGACGTCATAACCCCTTCTCCTGTGGAGAGAAGTACGGGTTATGACGTCATAACCCCCTCTCCTGAGGAGAGAAGGGTGGGTTATGACGTCATAACTCCCTCCTGAGGAGAGAAGGGCGGATTATGACGTCATAACCCGCCCCCTCTCACCACTCCCGCGTCTCTTGACGTCACTCCCTGTCGTCCACCTCACCCGTGTCGCGTGACGTCATCAACCCCTCTCTTCGTGCCCCCCCCCCCCCGCGTCTGGTCACCCCCTTTGCTCACCAACGTACCCCAATCCAGCTTGACGTCATCACCCTG